TTAGTGACAATTTTTTTTAGATTGCCACGAAAATTTTTTGAGTTAGTAACTAATAGTTATCTTCGCCACTAAACATTAGGTTTTAGTGATGATATAAGTTTGGTCACTAATACTTTCGCCACTAATAAACTTATTTCTTGAATAGTAATATGAATTTGAATATGAATTTGAATAAATCTTTATATTATATTTTACGGATTCAGATTTGAGTACCCTAAAATTCGATCCAAATTATACATAGACACAATGATCTCATTAAATATTAAGTGAGTGTTTAGTAAAGTTGGGCTGAAAATTTTTCAGTAATTTTCTAAAATTTAGCATTAACTAATATAGTTATTACTTGATGAAGTATTAGATTTTTTAACAATTTGAATTTGGACTATAAAAATAAGAGACGTTGTATATTTAAATCGAATTTTTATTCAAAGTTGCAAATTAAACAAAATTTGGATTAGGTTCGACTGAAGAACGATCTAAATCTGTTTTGTTTATAATCCTATTTTTGTACCAAATTTTTTAACTAAACCAAATTTGGATTTGGATCGACTGGACAATGATTTGAATCTGTTTTGTTGATAATCCTATTTAGGTACCAGTAATCACCGTGACTCCAAATTCCAAATGGTTGGTCATGGGGTTAAATGTCATATACCCCATTATAAAATGATCAACCCTATTTTTCCAAGATGGGCTACAACTAATCCCGACAATCATGCCACTGTAGATGAATGAAATATAAACAAGGACTGATACAAATGCCCCCATTTTATTTTTTAAACAAAAAAGTAATGAGATATGCAACTTTACAATAAACTTTCATGATCTTCATGCATATATCACAATATTTATTCTATTTCATTCAACCTTATTTTCTTGAACAACACTTTGTAGTGGACACGCCTTTAACCTGAGACAAGTAAATGCAACATATATTGGGTGTAAGCTAATAAGATGCTCATCAATACACATGAAACATAGGCATAAAACACATAGTCAAAATAGTTATAGGTCTAAACTCATATTAATAAAGTATCTTATAAATCACAGTATATAACAAACATTTCATGTATACATATCAACTGAGGAAATGTACAAATTGTAGCTACCACATCAAAAACCTATACAATCACAACTCATTACTATATTTCAATTAAAAAGGGTTTCGACCCACATTTATATTGGTTTGAAACTAAGCAGAGTTTATGCGAACTCTATTTGAGAGGTTTGTAGAATTGAAGTCAAGTCTTAAGCATGGCAAAGACTAATACCTTTTCACACACCTCCCCTCAAGGTTCGAACCCACACCTCCCAGTTAAGAGATGAGCCATTAGCCATCCAAACTAACCCACAATGGTTTTATCTTATGATTGTTGGGTGTCATAGCGTTTGAAAGAATATAGCCCTTCTATGTCACATAGAACATTTTCACACCAAGATTCAAGACTCAAGTTCTCAAGAACAAATTAAATCACTCTGTTTTTTTCTATCCTATAAACGCACTCTTCGCACGTTACAATTCATTTGAATCCATTTAGGTACTCAACCTTTTTAGGGCAAATCCCAAATTATTAGTCCGCACTGAATCATAACTTTTATCTCATAGGTCTTAACGCCGAGTCATAACTATTATCTCATTATGTTTTAACCTTGTTAATTAAGGTGACAAAAGGATGCTTGCATTTTTTCGCAGATGCATTATACGTTTTGTAAGACAGTGCTGAGCCAATACCTCTCCATGATTATATTTGAATTCCCATACTTCCTCCCCGTGTGCATTCAATTCCCATGATTTTGTTTTTGATGATCAACAACTTGGCTACAATTTCACTGGTGTCCAACCGTTCACTTGGAGTTGCTTCTGAACACGTAAGTCCAACTCCAAGTACAGAAATCAAGCACTCTTGAACTTTGTAACTATGAGCATGACTCTTATACTGAGGTTGGGGATTTGTGCTCGTCTCCCCCACTTCTTTGTGCTGAAGAAGCCTTGGTTCAACAATATTTGGTACTTGTTTTGCGAAGCCATACTAACATAATTATGAAGGTTCAAACTATCATCAAACATCTTGTTAGTGGGTCTCTTTCCTATAAACATTTCCAATAACAGGATGTCATAGCTATACACATCCCCATGAGTTGATGCCTCACTCCCCATGCCATACTATGAAATTTAAATTTCATAATGTCAAAATAAATAAGATGGAAAGAATATCAAACAATAATTCATTAACATGCAAGTAATCTATATTATAAATCTGGATAGACTAAACTGTTTACTTTTTGCTCAAGAAGTAAATTGCATCTTAAAACTTGTACTACCAGCACTTAGAGGCACATTTGGCCAATGTTCATCCGAAAAAATGGTGTTACAATTTTTCCAATTTATTTCCTATGTGAACACAATAATTGCTAATTTTTAATTGAAGCATTATGTTATTAAGGCATCTAATAGACTTAAATCGTTATAGACAAAACAACCACTAGTCTAAATCATTGATATTAACAATGTGCACTTATGGCAAACACAAAGAAAAAAACTAATTACCAAATCAATGATATGGAAATAGAGAGGCTTATCCAAAATCCTAGTTCAGACATCTGATTAAACATCCAACTCAAATTCAATTGACAATGAATAGAGTGGGCATATAATTTTTTGTTTGTCCTTTCCAAAGGTTATTCAAAAATGCAAAGGATATACAACAAAGATCAAGACAAAGTAGGAGTATAATTAGCAGTAACTGCTTGAAGATTAGCCAATAAATTATTTGAATTATCAAACAAAAGCGGAGCATACCTAGGGGACAAGGATTGTTTGTTTTGAAGATGGATTAAACAACGAAGGAAGATGTTTACCTAGTGCAATATAACCAATGGATCCTCTCAGTCCCATAAAACTATGTGCAGAGTTGACCGAGTCAACATTTGGAAGAAATCGTGCTAACCCAAAGTCACCAACATGTACGGTCATTTCGTTGTTCAGAAGAATGTTGTTTGCCTTTAAATCACAATGAATTACTGGAGTGTGGTCGTGATGGTGAAGATAGTTTAGGGCGCAAGCAACATCTATGGCAATATTTAAACTTTGAAAAAGACTTAACTTTCTGGGCTCCTCGCTCACCTCATATTCTCCTTAAATTGGCCACAACCACTCTTCTAGGTTCCCATTGGCCATGAACTCATAAACCAGTGTCTTAAAATCATTCCCTTGGTAATCAACACCTGAACAAGCAGTGATTACCTTAACAAGATTCCGATTCCTAATGTTCCTTAAGGCCTTACACTCAACAAGCAAACTCTTGAATGCCCCTTGGCGCGAAAGGTTCAGTACCTTCACCGCAACAAAAGTTTCATCCTGATCAGGAACTCCTTTATACACAGAACTAAAATTTCCTACACCCATTAAATTGTCTAAAGAAAACCCTTTGGTAGCTTTAAGGAGACTCTGATAAGAAACTTTCAAAAGAGAATTCTCTAATTGACTAAAAAATATCTCTCTTCTTGACTTCTTGACTTCCTGAAGCAATAAAGATAGTGCCAAAATTACTCCTAGAAGCCCACAAGATAAAGGAACTAGTAATCTAACCATAAAAGTTAACCTACTACTTTCTTCGACTTTTTGGAGTTGCATTTAGGAAATTTCAATTCAAGGGTATCCCCATATAACTTACTATTTCCCATAAGCAAAGTTGCAATTGCATTCTTGAAGATGCCTTTGATTGGTACCACACCATCAAAATCATTAGAGGATAGGTTTAATATCTTCAGCTGGAAGTCTACTAGATATTTAGGAATCTTGCCTGGCAAATTAATGTGTGAAAGATCTAATACTTGAATACCTTTCGAGAAACGTAAAGTTGAAGGCATAGACCCTTGGAAGGAGTTGCCTTGCATTAAGAGCAATTCCAGCATTACATAACAACTATGTGTGCTAGGAATTTCATCTGATAATATGTTGTCAGAAACATCCAAACCACCTAAATTTTTCAAATTTCCCACATCCAAGGGAAAGAAACCACTCAAATGGTTTCGAGCCAAGTCTAGGTACACCGATAAGGATGAGAGTCAAATAACTTGTTGGGGTATGGTGCCACTAAGATTGTTATTAGATAACTCCAGTAGTAATAAAATATGGCCTTTTCCTAGACTTGAAGGGATATTGCCCTGAAAGTTGTTTTCACTTAAATCGAGTATAGTTAGAAGGCTTTAATTCCCAGCAGAGAACGGAATAAAACCGTCCAATTGAAGTTTGCCAATGTCTGTCGGGATGTTACCTGTGAGTTGGTTGTCTAACATGCTTAGATAACTCAAGTTAATGAGATTTCATATGCCAGTTGAGATGCTTTCGTCTATATAATTGTGTCCAAGATCGAGTATTTGGAACTTAGTTGACGAGTTGCTGATGGATTTAGGAATTGTGCCACCAAAATTATTAAAGCTCATAGTCAACTTTCTTAAACGAGTGGCATTTTTTAGAGAAGAGAGAACGTCTAAGTCATCAGGTCCACCACTTCCAAGACTGTTATGGTCAAACAATACAACCCCAAGCTTATGCAATTTTCACATGGTAGGCACTTTTCCAGTAAAATTGTTATCACTTATTTGAAAAACTTCTAGGTCGAGGAATTAGCTATTGAATTAGGGATTAACCCAGTAAATTGGTTAGCACGTATGCCAAAAATTCCAAGATTAGGAAGAGTGATGCCTATATTTGAGGGAAGGCTACCATGGATGTTATTTTCCCCCACGTCAAGAACTGCCAGGAAAAGAGATTGAAGATTGAGGGAGGGATGACACCAGACAACCAATTTACGCCAAGTGCAACCACTGTCAGGTTGGCTATTTGGCCAAGAGAATGGGGGATACTTCCACCAATATTATTTAAGGCTGAATAAAGCAAGTTAAGAGATGTTAAGTTAGCGAAAGAATGAGGAATATTTCCGGTTAGATCATTGTGTTTGATTACAAGTTCCTTGAGCTTTGACAACGAGCATAGCCCTGTAGGAACTGCCCCTGCCAGCCTGTTGTAACCAATATTGAAGGAAATAAGACTAGAGCAACTAGATAAGTTGGCAGGAATTTTGCAGTTGAACGAGTTATTATGGAAGGCTAAAATTTTTAGCCTTGGCAACCATCCAAGTTTAGAGGGGATTCCATGAACAAAACTTTTGTTTTGGAGAAATAGTTCCCTCAAGAAACTTAGATTCCCAATTTGTGGGGTTATGGACCCAATCAATTTCTTGGATCATAGGTCCAACATTGTGACCTTTTCGTGGCGCCGGCCACATGTAACACCTTGTCATTCACTGTAGAGGATTGATGCATTCCATGTGTTGAAGACCTGAAATGGATCATTAATGTTCTTGGCCTTAAATGCAAGCAAAGCAAGTCGATATGTATCGTTCCCTCGTAGCCTAGAGGCGGCTACTATAGTTGGAAACCTTGGGTGCCAGAACCTCAAGCAACACACAACTATGACATAATTGAAAAGCTCAAGCTCAAGCCAAATATAAGTCCAAACTGTTGATTTAGACTGCACGTGTTCAATAGTCAAGGCGACCAAGTCATGCAAATCAGTTGTTGAAAAATATCTCTACTTTGAGCCAAAATGTGTCTTGAATTTCCTCTATATTTGTATGTGTTTATTGTTGTTTTTTCACATACAATGATATATTTTGCTTTTTTTTTTATAGAGTGGAATGAGAGTAACTATACATCATGTAGGAATCAAATCCTAGTATTCGGTACAAATTTTTTTTCTAGGAGATGTATTTTACCGACTAATGTTTCAATTTTTACCTAGGAAAATATTCCTAGTTTTTTTTTTTTTTGGTGATAGGTAATGATATTTTTACACTACAAGAGAGAGGGCGGGAAAAAGGGAAAGGACCTTGAACCATTAACATACCCCTCCATTATGGAGGGCTCCAACCATTCGGAAATGTAGGACTTCGGTCCTTGGAAAATTTTCCTTGTTGAATCTAGTATTTCTTGTAGTGTTCCTAAGAATAGCAAGATAATTGGAATTTTGAAAGAGAACCTCTTTCTAAATTTTATTTAAAATAAATCAAAGCTGGTAAATAAGCAATCCTAATGGTCTTAAATAACTTTTCACCACAATAAAAAATAAGAAATCCTAATGGTCTTAAATTATCAGAAAAATAAGCAAATATGCAATATTACAAAATTACCTCAAACAACATGATGAAAATAGAAAAGTACTTAAAAAAGTGTCTCAGACGTCATTTTTTGGCTAAAAAACGATTGGGTTGAAGACACAAGCTTCCCGGAATTAGGTCTTATGTAGTTTTCTAACATTGTCACCAACAATTAGTCATGATTGGTGTCCAATTAACACTGCTTTTGATGATTTTGATATGTTATGTAGTTTTCTACCACATGTACTGCATTGGCTAGAAACATGATAATTGATGGTGTAATTAGGCAAATGAGCATAAAATATGTTTCACGTAACCAAGTTTGAATTTGAGCTACAAGGCTCGTAATGACTATGGAAAGATCATTGGGGAATTGGGGTAACTTGCACGACAGACGTATAGTGGTTCACTGAGCTCGGAAGATTGGCTAATCCACTCTCAAAAGGAGTCTTTTGCTCCTTGAATATATATACCTGTCGGTCGCGATTTACAGAGTAGTTATGATAATACTAAGGTTCCTCTCTCTAGCCAATATTTATATCCATGTTCCTATTACTAAGGGATATACAAGGAGATTTCTACCATTCACGGGATCTCCCTTGATTCCTAGAGAGAATCTTGGTTGGTTGAGAATCCTTTGCCTTGATTATAGTCTCCTACTTTCTTGGGAGCGCCAGCTGTCTCCTCTTTGATTTTCATCTTGATTTATCTGAGGGGAGCCTAAGGTCTGGCCATAGGAGCTCTAGACTGCTGACTCGCTCTCCTAATTTGACCTCTATACCCGAGCTCATTTTTGAGATTTCTTCTAGGTATCATTAGTTACCCCAGTCCACGATCAAAGTGGGATTGACCAGGGGCTGAGTTAGAGTTGAGTCAAAGTAAAACCTCCCAAGACGACCTTGATTCGCGCGTGGAAGTTGCCTTTGGACAATTTTCAGCAATTATCCCTTTCCTCGTTTCCCACGCACATTATGTCACATGTCTTTCAAGCTTTAAATACTCACACGGCAACAAAAACCGCCATAACTTCTTGTTCACCTTCTTCCTTTGGCCTTTGATTTCCTGTTTTTCTACACTATTTACTTTCCCAGCTTACTAGTGAACTTAGGGTTTTACTGAACCTCCTCTCCTCCGGATTCAATCTCGAAGGCTCCACTAGACTCGCCTCCTGATTTTGCTCTGGGGTTTGATATGTCTTCTTTGACTAGGTACGCTTCTCAGCCCTCGTTTGTCCCTTTGTTCTGGATCCCTCAAATCTGAGGTGGTTGTTGTATTTCTGGACTTTTCGATTCTGCTATTTTGGGAATCGGGGTTACTCTTTGTCTCGTCTTTCTCTCTTTCTTGATCCTTACTCTACGACTAGAAATTTCCCAATTGGGAGTTGTTGTGTTGACCCCTTGACCCTCAAGAAGTATTTTTTAGAGATTCCTCCCCTTTATAGGTCTTTTCGACTCTCTTATTCTTGCCCAGCTATGTTTGCTTCCTCCAAAGCCACAGGCTCATCTATTTCCCCCATGGGGAACAGGTTTCCTGAAACAAAGGATTCTGATTTGGGTGATGTAGGAGAAGAGATTGATAGCTTTCTTGGTGTCGATTCTGTTGATATTGAGACAAATGTCAAGGAGCTCACTTCTTCATCTTCCTTAATGCCTAAAAACCCTAACAAAGGTAAGGCCAAGGTGAATGGTGTAGGGGTCTCAGGCTACGCTGAGGGCGTAGGGGTTGTATCCAGAGTTGCAGAGCTCATTGGTGCCGATGAAGTCTCTCCTCCTCAGATAAAGGTCTTAGCTACTCACTTTGGTTTTCCCTAGGATGTAGAATTCTGGTGCCAAATGAGTTTACTCGATATGACTCCGTGGTCCCAAAGATGACCTATTTTTTCGTAGTTTCTTCCGAGAACGGGCTTAGGTCTATCCTCAGCTCCTTTCATCAAGTCTATCCTCCAGAATTTTAACGTCTGTCCTACTCAAATCTCTCCTAACTTTTGGGGGGTCCTAGTGGGTCTTCTGGTCTTTTTCAAGAAAAATAAACTTGGCACCCCTTCTATCCCACTGCTCATGAAATTTTTCAATGTCAAGTTCAATCCAGGCGATTTTTTACACATTTTCAAGCGGGTGAAAACCCCAACCTTAATCACTGACCTGCCCAGCTCTCATAAGAACTAGAAGAAACAATTATTCTTTGTGTCTGGGAAGGCATGGGAATTTAATCCCAACGACGCCACTGACTCCCTTCCTATTTTGTGCTCCTAGGCGGGTCTAGACAACCTGGGTAAGATTGAAATTCTGAAAAAAGCCCTTCCTTACTCTTTTTAATGTTGGATGCTGAGTTTGATTCTTTGGTTGTGCCAGGTATTCGTCCTGAGCTAGGAGCTGAGGATAGGAGAGTTCTGCTCACCTTTAAGGATTGGAAATCAGAGAGGTATTCCATTATGACTGACCATTCCGAGCTCATAAAACTGGGCTTTAGCCCTACAATGGTGAGGATCGAAACTCCTGTTCCCATTTCTATTGCTGGAGCTGAAGAAGTGTCAAGTGATATTCATGTTCTCAACTCTTATTACTTCCTACCTTCCTTCTCCTGCCTCTTCTTCTAATCTATCTGTCCTCAATTCTTAGATTCCTCATTAATGGAGCCCACATCAAAGGATCGCATGGCCAAAGTGGCCTTGTTAAGGAAAACCCGGAGTGGGAACAAACTCAAAACTAAGGTCGGATCTAGGAGTGATCCAGCCTC